GGTTCTTAATTTTCCCCTTTTTTCTAATGTGTGTATTTAGTACTATAAATTTTCTTCCCTGTACTGCTTCAGCTATATCCTACAAATTTTTGAATATTTTAAACAGCATTTAATTTTCGGCGTGCTATATTTTTAAGCAAATAATTCTTTTTGATTTTTTATTATTCATATATTAAATCGCTATACATCATTTGGATTGTGAAGAGACTTTACCCAGCATGATATACACCTCAGACCAGCCCAGTTGAGACCACCATTCACATCCTCGTCAACAGATAATAAACCTTATCTGTATTTTCACTCAGCTCAGTGTACTTTTTATCTCTTTGAAAAAGGGTTTTGCTATTTCCTAATTCTCCTGCCTCAGCTTCTCAAAGACTGGGGACTACAAGGTCATATCACTGTGCTTGGCTTTTTCTGACAGGCCTTGCTGTGTTGTCCATGCTGGTTACAAACTTGTGAACCCCCAGCTTCAGCATCCCAAGTAGCTAGGACTACAAGCATACATTACCATATTTGTTTTTCAGGAATTGAACCTGAACCTCCTATGTAGCCTCAGCCACGAGTAGCAGCATCCAAAAGTATAAACTGCTGTGGTTCAGCCTTCAATGTATTTTTAAATTTCCCCGGGACTTTCTCTTTAACTCATGCAGTATATAGAAATGTGTTTAGTTTCTAAGAGTTCAGAGTTTTATCTGTTATCTTTCTGTCATTGATGTATAATTTGATTTCATCGTGGTCAGATAAAACTGAATGATTTCCATTTTTAGTAATTTGTTGAAGTTTGTTTTATCCAGATTATGGTCTTTTTTGATATACATTCTTTGGACATTTGAATGGCATATGTATTCTGGTATTCTTGGGTGTTCTGTAAATGTTTATTAGATCTTGTTGGTTTATAGTATTATTGCATTCTCATATTTCGTTATTGTTTTTCTGTAAAAATTGTTCTATGAGTTGTTCAGAGAAGAGTGTTGAATTCTCTGCCTTACTTGTGTATTTGGCTGCCTCTCATTTCAATTCTATTAATTTTCGATTTACAATTTTGCAACTGTGTTTGGTGTACACATGTTTAGAATTACTGTGTTTCCTGGTGGATTGTCTCCTTTATCATTATTAAGTGTCCTTGTCTGTCTCTGGTGATTTTCTTTTTCCTGAGGTTTATTTTATTTGATATTAAGATAGCTACTCCTTATTTCTTTTGATTACTATATCCATGATATATTGTTTTATGTATTTTAAATTCAGCCTATTGATATACTTGAGGTAAGCGTCTGGTAAAATACAGTCGAAACGTGTTCTAATTTACTCTATTAATCCATGCCTATTAATTAATGTGTTTAGACTGTTTATATTGAATGGAATTGTGGATATTTTAGGGCTAATGCTTGCCATTTTCTTTCTTTGTTTTCTGTTTTTTTTTTTCCTCTTTGTTTTGTTTCTTTTTCTTGACTTCCTGTGAAACGTTTTGTCTTCATATCTATGAGATATTAGAGGTCATACTTTTTTCTCCCTAATTGCTAGTTAGTGAATAAAATACACTGCATAGTCAATATTAAATGTTCCTGGCATCCATTTATTCAGCTAGCCACCCATTTATCCATCTTTTTAAAATATATTTTTTATTAAAATTATTTCTTTTTGTATATACATTCAATCACATTGTTTAGCTTAAAATATAAACATTTCAATATGTGAACGTTTCTCCCCAGTTCCATTGATCAAAATATCTTCAACCAATAACACCATACTATCTCATCCCATCAATGCTCTACCTTCATATCCCTTCTCCAGATGTCCTTCATTAGGCCCCCCTCCTCCACATACACCTCATCTGACATTCACACCCATCTCTTGTGTTTGTACAACCGTTAGTAAATCAGTTTCAGTCATAGAGTGCAGACATTCGGTATATGTTAAATGGGGACATATAATGTCTCTTCTTCATAGCCTGGCTTGCCTCACTCAGCAATAAATCTTCCATATTCTTCCACTTTCTGTCAAAAGCCAGGATTTTGTTGGTTTTTATGGCTGAGTAGTATTCCATAGAGTCTATGTGTCACAGTTTTTTCAATCCATTACTCCATACGGGGGCATTTGGGTTGGTTCTATGACTTAGCAATTGTGAATAGTGCCACAATAAACATCGATGTGCAAGCACTTTTCCAATGAAGAATTCTTCTGTCCTTTGGGTAGATACCGAGGAGTGGGATTGCTGGATCATATGGTAGATCTATTTGTAGATTTTTGAGGATTCTGGAAAAACTGCCCTCCACCAGTTTGCTGCTCAGATTTTTGATTTCAGCAGCCACAGTGCTGATTGTCTGTTAGAAATGTGTATTTTCTTAATAAATTGCACATGACTATTAAAAAATTAAAGTAAAGGAATTGGCCTCATTGGTTAAGGGAGGTAGATTCCATATGGCTCACTGTAGTTTGAATTGCAGTCCTGGAGGTTTGAGAAACAGACCTCAAACTATAAAACTGCTCCTGGAAAACACTGGGGAAACTCTGGGAGACACTGGCATAGTGAAAGACTTCTTAAATAAGACCCTCAAAGCACAGTCCATCATCCCCAAAATAGACAAGTGGGATTACATCAGACCATTTATCCATCTTTTCAAGGGCTATTTACTTGGGTCAGCAGGTGGTGTGGTGGTTAAGGGCTGTGGACTGTCACATGACCAACCATGGTTCGAGTCCCAGACCTGGCAGCTTGCTTTCTTACTCCTCCCTTCCCCTCACTCTGTCCCTCTGATCAAATAAAAATAAATAAATAAAGTTAAAATTATTTACAAACAAACAGAAAAGAGATATTTACTGAACCTCTATGCTCAGGCAGGCATTGTCATATAAAATGCTACTTTTTCAGGTAATTCTCTTTTCTTTCAGTTTTTTAGTAACATATTTATTTCCTATGGCTGTTGTAACAAATTACCATAAACTACATGGCTTACAACAACAGAAATTTATTTCCTCACATTCTGGAGACCAGAAGTTCAAAGTCAAAATGTTAGCAGGACTCTAGAAGAGAATTATCCTTTGTCTTTTCCAGCTTCTGTTGTTGTCAGCATTTCTTGACTTGTGACTGTATCACTTGTATCTCTGCATTCTATGATCAAGTTACCTGCTCTTGTTCTCTCTGCCTTTTCCTCTCATTGTCTCTTTTACAAACACTTGTTATTGAGAGTAGGGCCTACCTAGATAATTCAGAATAATCTCTGTCTCAAGATCCTTTTTAAAAATTAAGACAACATTCATGTGTTCCAGGATTAAAATGTAGACATATCTTTTAGGGGACTATCATTCAACCTAGTACAAGTATTTTTATATGCAACACTAATTTCTCCTTTTTGAGAAAGACATGGACTTCCTAGGTCACTTCCTTTCCTTTTTTTTTTTTTTTTTAATTTTGTCTGTAAAGGATTCATTTAGATAGTGATGAAAACAGTAAACTGATTATGATGGCCTATATTTCACAACTTACAATACTGCAACAGGAAAAAAGCTTTTCTTCATAACAAGGAAGTGTTATTTAAAATAAGAATATTATTCTTATTAACATACCTTACAAAACTCTCAGGCAGAAATATATTACTTTGAAAATGCTTTAAGAATTATGTATGGGGTCATTGGAATAGTCATGATGCATATTTGCATAGAAAAACAGAAAAATACATCATGACTTTTCTGATGACTCAATATTAAAATCTTATGTACAAATATTGTAACTACAGTGTACATACGCTATAATGACTTTTCTGATGACTCAATATTAAAGTCTTATGTACAAATATTGTAACTACAGTGTACATACACTATAACTCCAAGCAGTTGCATTTCAACAGATAAGTAATAAATAATTTTAAGTAAATAAATAAGTATTATGGCATCAGGAATTAAAATTAAAATTTTATCAGTTAAGAGAGTGAAAAGGAGTGGTTAAGGAGAGGTGAAAAAGAGAGTTAAGGAGAGATGAAAATTAATTCCCTCTGAGTTGGTGCCACATTTATTAGTACTTTTTGATGTACTTTTTAAGTATCTGCAGAATTTATGTAACTTAGATTATATCTTAAATAGTTTTTGCAGTTCATAGAAATGTTTTTTTTTTTCAGAAGAATTTGAACACTTTTTCCAAGATATTTATGCCACTAGAATATCACAAAGATTATTTTGGTAAAGCTTTAATGAACATAATTTTAAAAACGTATTTGTGTAAATGTGCCCTGCTGACTTTCAAGAGCATTGAGTGCATCTTCAGGAAATTTCTGGCCACTTGCAGACTAAGGCTAGTGAAATAAGGAATTTCATTGTACCAAAAGAAAGTTGTATGATTTAGGTATAATTTTTATTGCTATTACTCTTGTTACCATGGATACATTACCATAATAAATTTTTACTATTTTGTTTTAGGGTTTGTGCGCTCACCAGAGAAAGACAGTGAAAGGGAAAGTGAGAAATCATCCCTTAGGAGGGATGGTCATGCCACAATCCTTTCACTATTTTCCTCCTGAGATCTTGGGCATGCACGCATGCATGCCGTGTAAGTGTCAAGTCACCAGCTCTGGGACTTGAACTGTGATTGGCCAAGTTGGAGTCCAGTGACGTAATCACTATACCATCTGCTGGCCTCACCGTTTATATTTTTAATAAATTATAACAAACTGGCAGGTCGCAGAGGAAAAAAATAAGGTAGAATTTCAAAGTAAGTATTTATTAATAGTCTCAAGACTTTTAGACTTAAGATATGTACATAAATAGAAACTCTTATATTAGTACAACCATAATTAGTATGTTCATGTAGTTGTTATAAGATTTTTTAGTGAAATTTCAGTTCTGGTTTTATTTCTGTCTCAATTATGTGTTTAAAGTTTAAAACTTTGTTGAAAGTCTATTTAACATTAAAACTATCATTTTTTTTCCAAATCTGTGCTTTTTATAATTATAAATTGGAATTCAGTTTATCATTACAAATTTCAAATTTGCATTTTCTTTCTAAGTGCTGGTCAAGACATCCAAGGAACAAGTGTGATTGCAAATCTTCCATTTTTGATGCGACAGAATCCTGCTGAGACACTTCGGAGGGTCTTGCCAAAAGTCAGAGTAAGTTTGTATGACATAAGATTTGAATTTCCCGTTTCCTCTCTTGGTACCATGTTGTCATTGTTGGGAGAAAATTTTGAAGCTTAAGTGACCGATCTTTTGTACTGAATACCTGAATGGGGGAAGTATTATTATATATGCTTTGAATTGTGATGAGAATATTTAGGGGGGCCATCAGGTGGCATGGTGGTTAAGGGCACTGGACTTCTACATGGCTGACCGTGGTTTGAGTCCCAGACCTGGCAGCTTGCTTTCTCATTTTCTCTTCTTTCTCTCTGGTCACATTAAAAAATAATAACAAATGGAATTAAATAAATAAATAAATACTTTTTTTTAAAAGAAAATATTTAGGGAAATTAGCCAATAGAAATGCAGAAGTTCAGAGCTTAAGTTGTAAAGATTTTTTTTAGTCATTCTCTCAGTAGAGACATTTAAATAAAGTAGCTTTTCAGTAGCTCAAAACAAAATCTTAATTTTTAAAAATCACGTTTTATTTGGTCCTCTGTTGACTAAAATCTGTGTTAGCACATTAATCTATATTTCTGCAACATCACTAATATAGTTTAACTAATATTCCTAAGAAAGACCCTGTGGTGATTTCTAAAGATTCATCAAGTAAGCATTCAATTATAGTTACCACAATTTTTATTTTATATTTATTTTATTGCTTCCTAAATTCCTTCAGAGTTAACTTTCCTTTTGTGATAAAAAATGTTTGAATTACTATCATATTCTTTCTTCTGATTAATCAATTTTAATTGATTATATATTGTATTGAATGGTATTAATTAGTGTTTATTGTTTATTTACATCTGTGAACAAAGTGCTATCCTTTACATGAACTTGAATGAGCTAAACACCACCTTTATGTCTCCAGGAGCTTCATTATTGATGGGGTCATGGAGGTTTCATAATAAATTGTGTTTGCTAATAGTTTTGTATTTGTTTTGATTTTTCTTTTGGTTATAAAATTTCCATAATTTTTATTATGTATTTAAAGTACTGTATTTATTAGTGTGTCCTCGAGTGTTATTTTTAGACATATGTAGCATGGTTCTAGTTGTCGTGTTTTAGATCAGGGATGTAGCATGTTATTTTCCCAGGATGCTCACTTTTTGTCCATACAATATTAATTTATTTGAGAGTAATAATATTTAAGACTTTCAATGTGAATTGAAATGATGTTTATTTTGGCATTGTATGTGATTTAAAAGTGAATCAAGCTTCTTTTGTATTGATTTTTCTCAGAATCATGCCATAATTTCAAAGGAATGAAACATATACAGACCAGGTTTATCTTCACACTCAGTTTCACTTATATTAACTGACTTAAGCTTGTTAGCATGATACTGAAGTGTTAGTTAAACTACATAGCAAAGAAAAGGTGCTTAGGTCCTCTTGACTACAGAATTAATGTAAGTGGATGAAACACTAAGTAGATTTAAAGCTACAAATATTAAGCATGCTTATACTTTGTGTTAAGCCAGCTAGATGTTGTCTGCAGAGAGCATTGCATGTACAAAGTTTCATAAAACAAGAATGAAAGATGAAAACTAGAGTGAAGTGGCCTTTTGAGGTAATGGCCATTAAGTAACTATTGGAGAGAGAAGGCATGTAAACATCAGGAATAAGTAGTCTAGGTAGAGAGAGTAGCCCAGATAGCCTAAAGTGAAAGGGGTTGGTGGAACTGAGAGAGGCACATGTGGGTGGAATCTAGTGGATGTGGCTGAGATGTGACTTGAAAAGAGGTTATAGAAATGGTCAGTGATAGAGTATGCAAGAGTTGGTTTTCATTCCTAAGGCCATGGAACAGCCATTGAAGACTTTAAACAGGACAGTGACAAAATTCCATTTACATTTTACCATGATTCATTTTGATTATTGTCTGGAGTATGGATTGATGTGGAATGATTAGGAAGCTTCAGTGCTGGCCTTCCTGATATTTGATGGTGGCTTGGATTAGGACAACAAATGAGCACAGTAGAGAGCAGCGGATATATCTAAGACACATTTGTGGAGGTGGAATGAAAGAACTCCTATGACTTGAATTTGAGAAAGAAGTGAGGGATGACTTCTAGATTTCTGGATTTAGCATCTTTATGGTTCGGTTGAATTTCAGTATTTTAGTTGATAGTCTGCTAAATTCATACAGAAAAATAATTCGAGTACTTACTATTATGTGTCTTCTCTAGATGGTTTACTTCTAGAGAGTTTAAAGATATGAACAGTACATACTTCCTGAAAGAAGTTAATCATTCCCAGGTTTCTTACTACTATTATAACAATAGTATAAGCAGCTTTTAGAGCTCACTCTTTGCTGAGTCTTTTTCTTGAAGCACATAAGATAAAGTGGTGTTGGAGATTTTGCTGGCCTTATATATTATAACATTTTACCACTGCTATTTTTCATTGTATCACATTTGCATTTCATCTTTATAATAATGCATTAACTAAAAAGTAGTTTTAAAAAATAGGCTGGTACTTTCACTATTTTAGAGAAAAAGGAATTTTTAAAAAGTAAAATGGTAGAAAAAGGATTAGAATTGAACTAATCCATGGTATTTTCATAATTTCTGAAACACATCTAAAATGGGTAGTGCATCGTAGTGCAATTAGGTCACTCATCTCAGGATTAAATTTATGTAAGACTATAATAGAAAGGAAATATTTTCACTTCCAATTTAAATTTTCTAAATGTAGAGACACTTGTAAATATAGTTGTTATACTATAGTCATACTATGCAATTTAACCCTAGGGTATCTCTTGAAAAAGAAAGAAGTTTGTTCTTTAATCTTTATTATTTTATTTTTTCCCACAATATATTAAATTGAAATCTTGTGTGTTAGATTTTAATATTTGATTTTAACTTCTGGTTATCTTGATTTGAAAGAATTGGATTGTCAGGACCAGCAGTTAGCATAATGGCTATGTCGTTGGACTCCCATGTAGTTGATCACAGTTTGAGTCCCTGACCTGGTGGCTTAAACTCATGCTGGGTGCATGTGCATGCGTGCCCAAGATCCCGAGAGGAGAAAGGAGAAGGGATTGCAGTGTGGCCATCCCCCCCCCCGGGACGGGGACCCCCCGGGGGTAGTTGATCACAGTTTGAGTCCCTGACCTGGTGGCTTAAACTCATGCTGGGTGCATGTGCATGCGTGCCCAAGATCCCGAGAGGAGAAAGGAGAAGGGATTGCAGTGTGGCCATCCCCCCCCCCGGGGTGGGGGTGGGGGTGATTTCTCGCTTTCTGTCTCTCTGTTGCTCTCTGTCTTTCTGGTGAGTGCATGCGCCCTATAGCAAAAACCTCTCAAAAAAAAAAAAAAAAAGATTTGGATTGTCAGGATAAATTTCTAGAATACTGCAGTTCTTGTGTCAGCTGGTGGTGTGGTGTTTAAGGTAGCAGAATCTCACGTGGGTGACAATGTGGTCTGAGTCCTGCACCTGGAAGCTGGAAAAATACACCGGGCACATGTGCATACATGCCTGGAGACCTGAGGGGAGAAGGGATTGTGGTGTGGCTCTCCCATGGGAAGTGATTTCTCACTCTATCCCCCTAACCCCACAAGTGTACGTACCCTACAGCAAAACTAAAAAACAAAAAACCACAGAAAACTATAGTCCTTTATAAAGTTTAAAACACTAATTCTGTAAGTATACCATGTAGTATAGGTAACTAACTGCCGGAGACCTGCTCCAGCCTGGGTGGGTTGAGACTCTATGGAAAGCGATGCAGGCGAGAAGAAATTCAGGCAGAGATCTCTATGCTATTTAGCATGTTCTCAACTGAATACAGTCAGGGCAAGCTCAAGACTGCAGCGTCTGTGGCTAGGAGACATATATTTTTTATTGAGGGATGTTTACAGGAGTAGGAGGGGTGAGGGGAAATAAAAGATTTTACTCTAAGAAATGAGGTATTCAAAGTATGGGAACAATAATCATAAAACATGATGCACTGTTTTGTTTTATTAGGTGTAATCAGTCACAGTCCTCAGGGCGAGGGAGTCCATTTGTCTGGTGCATTCTCTTCTTAGATCTCGATTACCAGGAAAGGTCTTTTGGATGAGGGGGCTTTCAGGAAGCTTGGTAACTTCAGTCCCAGGCCGGCTTGATAGCTTCAGCCCCAGGCCAGGGCGGCAGTGGATTGCCGGTTACAAAGGCCTAGATAGAAATCTTATCTTGTTAAGTAAAGGCACGATTAATATATACTAAAGTGGAATATCTATATTACAACTAAGGGGGTGATCCTATTGCCCAAATGGGAAAGGAATGTGGTCTTGTAAGCAGCTCAATGACTGACCTAAAGGTTATTATGTACTTGGGACCCTCTATGTGCTGTTCTATACAATGGCTATGGCTCGGGGGAGCTGCAATCTTTCCTTGTCCTGAGATCAAAGGTGACTCATGGTCTTTGTTTAGGGTATCAGTACCTCGTGGATGAGCCCCTAAGCCTCTCCCAGCTACTGAGGTTGTTTCACCAATTTAGTAGCTTTCCATTAATCCAAATCTTTCTAATGCTATCTATGTAATCCCCAGTAGGAGAAGTGAATGCAGCATTCTTTATTGATATTTTCCAGGCAGGTGGGGTGAGTCGCACGGAAATAATTCCCATTCGCCACCGCCTTAGGGGTCCGCATTCTTTCAGGATTATTAGTTGGTTTTATTGTAAAAGTTACAGTAAGGCTGGAGATGTTATTTTACCCTTATGGGGTACTGGGGTACTGTAACGACAGTAAAGTCCATGACAGAGAGATTGAAAGCACAAACCAGTACAACAAACACAGTTGAAACCTTGAGCTTACAGCTGTAGCCTTGCTTGCAGCTCTTCTTAGCCAAACCTTGCTTAGACATGAGAGGCAGCTCTTTATGTTCTGTCTGTGTTGGCTGCATGGCTTCCGCCAACTAACTCCTTTATAATGCAATGTAAAAAAAAGTTTATACCTATTGAGATATTAAATTCATTTCATCTTTTTTTAACTTTTATTTTGGGAACCAAAATATATG